AAAAGTTAGAAAACTACCGCATTACACCGAAAAGTTAGAAAACTACCGCATTACACCGAAAAGTTAGAAAACTATTGGATTATACCAAAAAGTTAGAAAACTATTGGATTACACCGAAAAGTTCAGCAGTATCTACTAGTCCTTTAAACAGACAGAGGCACTCGTCTGTCACGAGAGCCCACATGGGAAGCTGCACTTACCCACATCGCCCTGCAGGCGGGCGGCGGGGCCCTTGTGGTGGCCCTCAATGTGGGCGGTCATCTCCTGGCGGGTTGGGGTGGAGTGGCTGCACTGCAGGCACCTGTAGCGCCCCCTAGTGTGCTCCCAGAGAATGCGGCTGCTGAAAGACTGGCCTGAGCAAGGGGGAGGGGAAAAAAAAAACAAAAACAGAGAACGCACCATCAAGGAAATGTCATCCAGCCAAACCCAGGATACCACGGCGTCCACAGTCCATTCTGGAACATCAGATAAAATGAATGAGAACGAATCTAAGAATGGATCCACAACCCCAGTGGAGGAGGGGAAATGAGGTCATGCAATCACGAGCACAAATCAGGCAAGGTTTCCACTCAGCATCGACTAACATCAGCTCGAATCATCTGAAAAGCCACTGGTTTACAAAAGTACCACCGGACTGGTAAGCTAATCACAAGACGGTATGGAGTCTTCCCGATGCACGCCGTTATGTGAACTGAAAGGGTTAGTTCTGAAGGTCCAGGTCGACATTAGACCAGGGCTCACATAATAGCTGGTTCTGAGATTAGTACATACTGAAGCAGAGAGCAAGGGCAGGAGCGGATCAGAACCACCGTGAACCAGTCTGGCTGCTATCGGGCTATGCAAGACAGCCATTCCAAAACCAGACAGCCGCTACTGCCACGGAGGGGGGCGGAGTTACAGAATGGAGAACAGGGGGTGGGGTTACCGCCGCTGGACCCTTATTAGTGCGTGGTGGGGGATGGAAGGTCAATTTGAGGGCTGAGAGAGAGACAGCGCCCTCTGGGGGTGAAGGCGATACTCTACTGGAAGCAGAGGAGACAGGCTGGGAGGGTCCTGTGCTGAATCTGGCTATGCGTGTGCGGGCTGTGGTCTCCGTGCCTCACCTGGATTTCACCTGTATTTATACTCTGACTGCTGGAAGGACTGTCCGTTCTGTGCAAAAGGGGTCCGGGCGCGTCTGGCAGGACAGTGCACACGACAAAACACACAGTTCACTCAACAGCGGGAACGGCCAGGCCGAAGAACGCATCCCACCTCTGCAATCACGTGGGAGCGACACTAGGCGAGAATCACGGGCAGATCAGGACTTACGAGCCACGTGATGCGGCCTTAGGACCAACACATGACACTCATTCACCTTGGTTCTTCCTCCACACCGCGTTGGATCCCGGCGAGGCCGGGGGGGCGAGGGGTCCGGGGGGGGCCGGACCGGCGGTGCGGAGAAGCCGCTGCTGCTGCTGAAGCTGGTGCTGCCCGTAGCTGGGGGGCGGAGATGACTGCATGGGGGTCTGGTAGGCGGGGAAAGGCATGGGAGGAGTGTCCTGTTGGGGCTGCCTGGGGATAATCAGGGACTGCTGGGAGAACGGGGGGGGCTCCAGGAGAGGGAAGGTGCCCGGGGCAGGAGCCAGGGGGCCGTCCGGGGGGAGACCACCGATGGGGACCGTGAGGAGCGGGGCAGCTGTCGCAGCAGAACCAGGCCTGGAGTCCCTGGGAGTCGCCGGTGGTCCCGGATCCACCTGCATGTCTTCCATGCCGCCCTGCTTGGCGTCAGGAGGCTCGGGGGGCCCCGCAGACAGCAGCATGGCATCGGGGGCCGTTTCCGTGCCGTCGGCCATGTCCGGCTCGGCTTTGACCACCTTGTTCTTGGCCACCTTGGCGCAGGTGTGCAGGTGCTTCAGAAGAGCCTGGTAGGAGCGAAGCTTCGCCCTGCAGCTCTCGCACCTGAACGGGGAGCGCAGGTGACCAGCAGGTTAACCAGCACCCTAACCTCAATCAGCCTAAAATATGCAAAAAATGCACCGGCTGCAGGCACTATTATGAAAAAACATACAATGGTAAGATCCAGATGAGAAAAATGCAAACATTCTGTATGTTTGAACATACAGCCATAAAACCCAGCCTTAACACAGACTTTAACCTTGTGACAACACCTGAAGTGTTTTGGGGTGCTGCCCCCTACTGGCCACTCACAGGAAGTAGTGGTTGGGCTTGTAGTGGGACCGCATGTGCTCCATGAGCTGCTGCATGTTGGGGAAAACGCCGCTGCACCCCACCGACGAGCACTGGAACGCTTTTCCTGGGCGGAGAGGAGCACAGAGCTGCACTGCTCACGTTCCCGTCCCCGGCACACATCCTCGCACACTTTCATCTGCCATTTTAGAGTGAATTCACAATAGAGAACACCAGAGAAACACTACAGGTTCTCTATTTCTGTCCACCATTTATTTAAACATGTATTTTTCGTGGCATCTTTCTGCCCTGTGAATAAACCTCAAATTGAGTTTGATAGACTAAGTGCAGAAGATGAACTTTCTGTTATCGAGACTTACTTCCTATTACCCAGAGGCATCAAAGGCCTCTATATACCCACTAAAATTCAGTGAGGATCACAACTTCTACACGATGTACTAGAATATACGCACAGCTCACAATATCGATATCCGTATTGCTACTGTTCTTTTGTTATTGTAATAACTTTAAATTTTAGTAAAAACTAATGTTTATTTATGCCATTCATCTCCATGAATGACTTCACTTTACATTGTTTTGTAAATATATATTCGTACGATAATCTTGATCAAAATTAAGGTTATTCTCTGCTGCAGAGGCACAATCTAATGTTTTCCTCTCCTGTAAAAATCTTGATCGATTTTATTTGGCAGCAATACATCTTTGGACAAAAATCCATCGGTTAAACCCCAAGTAACATAAACACAGCAACACTAATCTGTACACGAAAAATTAATGTATTTCCCCATCATCAATAACGGGATAAAATGCACAGAAAATCTTTTAAATTATTCTTTATAGTATGGACAGCGGAAGGCACGCGAAGAAGGGGGAGGGGCAGAATCACGTCCAGTTGTCTTTTTGCTTCTGTAAGACTCATGATAAGAGGAAAACGTTTATTCTTACCTGGAAGAGACTCTGTTGGGATCTGGTGACTCTCCGTGTGGCTGTTCAGTTTCTGCACGTCGGTAAATGTCCGCTTGCAGCCATAGTAGGAACACGGCAAGACGCCTCCTGCGGACACGCACGTAAACCTTCAATGGAAAAAACCACGAGCTCCTAGCACGGTCTACAGTTATGGTACTATCTATATCTTTCCTTTACTCGTGGGTTCAGCTAATGCCCAAATTATCTATTAGTATGTTATAATCTTAACCTTCACTAGTTTTTTTTCCTGCGTATGCATGTGAAAAGAAGTGGAAGCATGCATACATGTTGTTATTTATATATGAGGACTCGGCTGTACCTTCCATGGCTGCGGATGGCTCATGCTTGACTACCCCGGCGGACATCTCTGGCTCATGACTGTCAGCCGCCAGGGAGGATGAGGTGAAGGAGAGCAGCCTCTCGAGTTCAGACTATCTGGAAAACATTGCGCCGTTTACCGGAGACTACATCCCCAAAATGCCCACCTACTGGCATTTATATACCACATATCGGGAAATGCACACGAATTAATAAGCGCGTAGTATAGCTGTTGGTTTGGGAGCTGATGCCGGATCCGAAAGGTGGTCGGTTCGAGTCCCACGGAGGCCTCGCTGGTCTATTCAAGAGCGACCCGTTAATTGCACGGAGAGCTATGCTCTCCCAGACAAAGGGCAGTCTCTGAAGCGACAGGCATGGCTGCTCACCGTGCATGAAAAGGATTTAATGCCATTGATAAGCTACAAACAAAATCTGAAGCAACACCGTTTATTGTAATATACATTTCTCGTTTACTATTCGATTGCACATAGTATTGTGCCCGCATGGTAGTTTTTGACCGAAATTAGCCTCATCGTAATACGATAAACAACTATTTGCTTACCATAAAATGTCTACAACAGAGACTTTAAGCCAGGATCGGTATTCGCCAATGCATGTATGGGCAGAGAATAAAACGAGTGCAAGAGAAAAGTAAAACTAAAAACGAAAGAAAGCGCAGCCGTGCCGCAGTCAGCCTGCCTTCCTCAGCTTGGTAGTTTGGTATCGCGAGAGGAGCGAGGGGATGAGAGACTGCGCTCCCCCACACGGCCGCCCCACCGAAGGACACCGCCCCCTGCCCCCCAAGCAATCCGCCGGGCGGCGCCACTTCTGAAAGTAAACACATTTACAACGTGATTCTTTAACCCTGCTTCTGCTGGGGACCACCGTGGGTATTACCACAGTTGAGATGTCAATGTGTTTTACTCATGTCTATTAAGTGTTTTCTGTTTCGCAATAAAATGAAAAATGCCTTATTGGTTAATTAAACTTACCAGTATTTTATTAATTTATTGTTTAGTAGCTGAGCGAATATATCAAAATTCATATTATTTTGCTGCTTTATAGGTGAAACGAGAAAATTGTAATGTAATGTGAAATATAGTATCTCTTTATTATTAAAGTCTAATGGTCTTAAAAGATCTATAAGCCACCTTGCAAACTGTATACATTTAGCATCTAGTTAAGCAGGCCTATGATCTAGCAGCCAATTGATGCAAGACGGATTGCGGTTATATAATAGTTCCATACTTTTATAAAATATAAGGCTTTGCAACCTTACAATTTCCCAATTCCATTGAAGCTGACGTTTATATTATTGTTACAAACAGCCCACAATAAAAAATGTAAGTGAAGAAGTGTGGTTTGGTTTAACTAATTAGTATAAGTTTTTAGACGGCGGAGATGAGTCATATGTAGTTCCAAGGTAGAGATGCGCGAATTGATACTAAAATATCGATTCTTTCGATCTGAATGATTTCCTTTTGAGAATTGATTCTAACGTTAAAATACCGTTTTTTTTCATGGAGGACATGTACTAGGCTACTACTGGGCAGGGTCGCCCATAAGGGTGAGAAATAATAACGGGTCCAAACACTTGGAGAACCCCTCCACAAGCATCGGTATCGGTATCGGTGATACCAACCTTTCGAAGTGAAATCGGATCGAAAAGAAAATGAAGGAAAATGGTATCGCCCATCCCTAGGTATAGTCTAAGCCAGAAATGCGTCTTTAAGGCTCCGGGCTCTACAGACTGTTACGTTTGGTCCAAGGAAGTACTCTGGCACTTTGGGGAGGAGCCTGCATTCTCACTGCGCTACATTAACTCACACTCTGTGCGTGGGAAAAAAAGTATCGCCAATTATAAGTACTGCACACATATAAGTCTGGCAAAGTTTTACTGTGTGTTTCGTTTTTTTCCAGAGATATAGGAAAAATACAAGGCTGGTTTTGTACGGAGCGAATCCAGCACACGGAGGAGCTGGACTGGAGTAGCGGGACGGGAGCGCGGCTAAGCTAACAGGCTTAGCTTCAGAGGTATGTAAGTGCATCCAAGTAACAAGCGATGACTTGATCGGGCGATTGGCTGGCTGCCTGAGTTACATGTTATATTTTAGTTCTACTTCTTAGGAGAACCTGAAGTTTCGCCATTGAAAACATACATTATAGGCATTTTACGGACTGGCGCGGTGCTTTCCTAGGAGAAATGCGTGTCGTGCCTTTTAATTCCGCATCATAGCGCCAATAGCACATCGAAATGGACTAAATTAAAATCCAGGAAAGCGTTTCTCTTTCGGTTCCTGTATGACGACAACCATTAAATCAATGAAAGATTCATAGGAAACTGTAATTTGAACTTTTGCGAAGTAAACTCCGGGAATGCGTAATCCGATCTTGTTTCGGCCAGTAGATGGGCGATGGATATTCTGCTTTCTTCCTGGTGGGTTTAGCACGGTGTATTTTGTCTTGGACTTTTTCTTTTGATGATGCTGCTGCTTCCCCTGATAAACCGGTCATCTGTTGCTGTTCATGACGAAAGTGATGAACAGCAGCAGCATTGTGGCTATTTTCACGTGGCTCTCAATGAATCAGACTGTCTTTCGCAGCGTTTCTCCAGTACCATGTCCAGAAAAATATTTTTAAATGAAGGTAGAAGTGTTAACAGTAGATCACGCATCACTGGAGTTTGTGCGATTTTAGTATAATTACACGTTTTAAACGTTCCGTAGACCATATGAACAAACTTAATTCAAATAAGGGACTTTCCATAGCATAAGGTTTTTTTTATGACAAATGCATACCCTTTAGCTACTAGTAAATGAACAAAGTTTCTTTTTTTTAAATTGTATTTGGCACTCCAGACCGATAAGTCTAAATAAAGTGTTACTGTATTAACAACCTTGGAGCGCGTATCAACGATGCGTTACATGGTCGCATCCTCGCGTTTTCTAGATGCCTCTAATGGTTGTTATGGCGAGACAAATTACTTATAAAAATGTTATGGCATTCTGCGTAGGCATTTGGCATCTTGATTAAAGACCTGTGTACTGCAAAACAGTGCTTAATTCGGTAGAGAAACGGCGGACACCATGGCTAAGGATTTTGCTTGGTAACATGAATCCTATCCAATTGGCGCCGTGATTTGCGTTTTTAATAATATTGAACCTCTAATTAGGTACATTGATACATTCTCCTAGAAAATGGGTGAATTGAAAATGCTTTTTTTTGATGAAGCATCATCCTATCCATGAAAAAATACAATAAGGCAATGGAGGAGAAGACGAGCTGTAATGCGAAATACGAACCTGTCCCTTTAATTACTGTGTAACGTCCCTGTTAGTCCCATTCAGCAAAATCACCAAGGTAAGAATGGCTGTATCTTAGAGCCTCATTGGACGCCATCTTCCATCAGGACTTCATACTGCCATTGAACACTTATTCTTAACTTTCCACCTAGCAGGCTGGCTTGCTGAAGCAACACGTCATCGTCTGTGAACAATTATACAACCTGTAATTGCAGCTCCATACATGAAAATAACAGAGAGTGCAATTAAAAAGGCTTCCCTTCTGAATTTGAAACCGAGCCACATCCCAGTTTAATAACAAAAGGACTTTTCACGATATGACTTGTAACGCTGAGCTAATGGAAAGTAATTAATGCACCTATTGATTCAGAGATGCCCCTGAAATCATCAGCGGCGATAAACAAAGTGTTACTGTTTCCCACTTACAAGGCTAAACCTTCGTGTCTTATAATTATCCTCCTTGTCTATTTGGTTGTTTTATGACATCTTTCTTGGTATAACGATGCACTTGTTGCATTTATCAGGTGTGTGCCTGGGAAAATAGCCCAGCTTAACCAACCTGGAGTGCCAGGAGTGTATTATGGGATTGTCTCTGTGGTGGTCCATCACACCGCAACTGGAAACGTATACAGTAACATGAAGTAGAGTTGGCTTTGGCAGGATTAAGGATTATTTAACTGCATTCACTGTGTCCAATAACCTGTTTAAATGTAGCGTTTTACGTTTGCTGCAGGTCCTATACGTTCTCCTGCATGCATCCCAAGGAGACGGCGCTAATCATGTCTCTGGCGCTGAAACAAGTTTTCAACAAGGACAGGACGTTCCGGCCGAAGAGGAAGTTCGAGCCGGGAACCCAGCGGTTCGAGCTGCACAAGAAGGCGCAGGCGTCGCTGAATGCTGGGCTGGACCTGCGGCAGGCGGTCCAGCTGCCGCACAGCGAGGACCTGCACGACTGGGTGGCCGTGCACGTGGTGGACTTCTTCAACCGCATCAACCTCATCTATGGCACCATCAGCGACTCGTGCACGGACCAGTCCTGCCCTGTCATGTCCGGGGGCGCCAAGTATGAGTACCGCTGGCAGGACGAGCATCGCTACAAGAAGCCCACCGCCCTGTCAGCGCCCCGGTACATGAGCTTGCTCATGGACTGGATCGAGATGCAGATCAACAACGAAAACATCTTCCCCACCAATGTCGGTAAGGGGGCCTGAAAGCCGGTCACCATGGCAGCCCCATGGAGCTGAGTTATAGCATGGGATGGAAACACCCTTTCATACGTGTCAGTGGTGCGGGCCGGTGTGGGAGGAGCTTCCATTTTCAGATTCCCATTGGCAAGTATTTACGGTGGGAATTGAGAAGTATTTATGGATCCCTCTATACATGTTAATACGGTAAAGCATCATCGGTCAGTTTAGCAGGTTGCTTAACGATTAGGAAGATGAATGTATTGCCAGGGCAGTCCCTCCTATCAGAGGCCGACTGCTGCGATTTCAGGTGCGTGTGCTTTTTATTTGGGCCGTTTTACGACGCAGTTTACGAACACCGCGGAAGATGGAGGAATTTAAGGAGCAGCTATAATTAGGATTTCTGTACCTGCGGGACAGAAAATCTGCTCTGACGTTGGGTGAATCGCTCGGGGCGATGGCTGCAGGTGCCTTAGCCCAAGTTCCACCCATAAATCAGCCATATAAGGAGGTTGTCAGAGAAGCAACTCGCTGTGTAAGAGTAGAGCAGTTCTGGTAAAGCAAAGGAAAATCCAGCTTTCTTCATCTACCGGATCTTGGGGTGATTCCAGGCTCACGGTCACATGACTAGGGGATTATCCAGCAGTGCTTTTACCGTCACGTGATTGGCGGGTAGGGAAGTGGAAGGCGTGGTTTGGCTTTGTGGCTGTGTTTCCCCGCAGACGGTGCCCCTCACGTGCCATAACCTGCCCAGCCTCACTGCTCCCTCTTTCCCATCCAAGGTACGCCCTTCCCCAAGACCTTCATGCAGGTAGCCAAGAAGATCCTGTCGCGCCTATTCCGCGTCTTCGTCCACGTCTACATCCACCACTTCGACCGTGTCAGCCAGATGGGCGCCGAGGCCCACGTCAACACGTGCTACAAGCACTTCTATTACTTCGTCACTGAGTTCAACCTCATCGACCACAAAGAGCTGGAGCCATTGGTGAGGGGGCGGGACCTGTGCCATCATCTCCCATTGGGGGCTCATGCCTCGTGCAGGCAGCCAAATAGCCAGTCTGAGGTCCTTATCAGCTCTCCCTTTGTATAGGCATGGGAGAGGCCTGTGAGCAAACATCCAACCCTGTTATTTAAACTGGTCGCTGAAGGACCTCCCAGCTTAGCTGGCTGTCTGTGCAGCCATGAAGGCCAGGAGATGTTATCCACAGCCTGGAGCGTTACAACACCACGATGTAGCTGCTGAAATGCATTGCTTTATGTCTCTGTTAATGGGGGGTGTTCAGATTAGGAAATCTATACATCTCCTTTATGAAATATCTGTATTACAGTCTATGTAAGTCCCTGTAGCCTTGCATGTATTCATCAGGCAATGCGCTGTTTTTGAACCAGGCGTCTGTTTTCCTTGTCAGGTGGGTGGAAGACCTTTGGTAACCAGCCTCATTAAAAATTAACCTTCCTAAGGCAGATAATTATCTCTGTGAAAACGACACCGATGGTGGTTAAATGTGTGGAAAATAATTTCGGGATGTTATATGAGCCATCGGCTGCGTGTTTAAGCGAAACGTGTCAGATAGTAGACTAAAAATAAACTAAAGAGAATGACTGTCCGTCTGCGCAGACCCTGGTTAGTGCAGAGCGGCCTTAGACGAGCATCAGAGCATGAAGTCTTCCACATCAGATGGCAGCTTAACAGCTGACCTTTGACCCGTTTGCTCTCGCAGGATTGGATAGATTTGGGGGTGGATGGGACGCTTGTGTCAGGCATGCTGCTCAGTTTGTTTGCTTTTTCCCCGTGACAGGCTTTTATATTGCTGCTTTGTGGTCAGTGTGGGTCAGTGTATCTGCTGCCAGTGTTCTCCTCCTAACTGGACCTGCTCCTCTTCTCCCTCTCACAGAAAGAGATGACTTTGCGGGTGTGTCACTGAAGGATGGCCTGGCCTGGCCTGCCATGCACAGCAAACAGCCCTGCATTACCCCAGGGAACCACAAGAGGGCAAAACCTTTAGGGGACCAAAGAAGAAAAGGCCACCCGAGAGTCTATTTTTATAAACATACATTTCCTTATGTACAAATAACATGTAATTTTATTAAAGTCAATGTATTTACTTGAGGAGCTCAGAAAGTTTTAAGGTAATTTTGTTTTAAAAAATAAATGTCTTTTGTCAAGATTTTCCCTATCAGAAGCAATATTGTTTATCCAAAAATATGTAAGATGTAAGAAGTATGTATGTAATATGTACATACTGGAGGTAAGCACATCTGTTACCATGGAAACACTACTCTTGTTTGTCTGTACTGTGAGGCACAATACTAAATTTGTCATTTTTGTTCGTAGACTAGGAAGTGTCTGTGCAACCCAGAAATGCAAACACTGAATGCTGCTGCTCCTTTAAAGTTTATCGCCCCCCCTTGCGGATATGTCAGTAATTACATGTTATTGCGTCTTAATCCTACCTGTTTCTTCAGACTTTGTTCATTCCAAAACGGAGTTCAAGGTCATTAGTGAAAGTTTAGGACAAATATGCTTATGTTGAATAAAGCTATTTGAGGTCATAAGCTAAAGTCTGTGGTGGTCCGTTTAACCATTTGTTCTACAAAAAGTAGGTGCCAGGTTATGTCTGACTTTTTCTTTGGTTATATTCACTGGTGCTCAAATGAACAAGTATCCAAAAACAGGGGGGGGGGGCATAGTTCAAAAGCAAATACACTTAAATTTCATGTAATTTACAATTCTTAAAAATCTTTCTTTACCAATCTTTAATCTCTGGATGGCCGGTACATTTCTTTAATCCTTAACTGACATCGCTGTGGTGACGGGCTTCTGTTTTCTAATATTTCTATGACACAGATTGTCAAAGGAAAGCTTTTTGTAATATAAAGAATGTTGTACATTTAGGTTGTCCAATTCTTTTTCTTTTAATAAACGTGCTTTATAAATATATCTATAGTTTGTTATTGTGCCAAAGGTCCACTAGGTGTCGCCGGCGATTAATGGAAAACATTCAAATTAGTAGCCCGTGGTGTTATGTAAAGCCCTAAAGCCCGAGACGGGACTATCTACCGCTGTAATGCACGGGCTTATTCCGTCCGCTAAAACTGGGCCCTAACAAACCTTGTCGTTTTGTACCAATACGAGACCATATTGACGCCCTCTGTGTGATTTTAAAAAATCGATTTTTTTTTTTTTTTTAAACTTTCATTGTTGAAATTATTCGCCATACAATTGTACGTGTATTTTTATTAATAGGTAATTTAATAGACTTGACAGACTTAAAAAAAACTTTATTTAGTCAATCTGTGGAATCCACAAAAGTGTAAACATGGTCGCGGTGCGTTCAAGGTCATTTAATGGATGCATTTTAATGAAATGTAAGGCACCGGTCTGTCATTTAACGTACTTTCGTCTGTATTAGTATCAGTATGGAATAACTCGTAAGTGGACGGCATTGTTTTCACCGCACCCACTCCATTTTTCGTGCAACTCGTGTTCACTCGGTACAAGAACCAGCCGGTTCTAGATTAAGTAAGCCGGATAGATCATGACAAAAGTGTTATGATGAGTGGGTGGATGGGACCCAGATTTAAGCCAGCTGCAAATGAGAAAGTGGGGGAGCTACGTGAGCCTACTGTGCCTTTCTACTCTCTCTCGAACGGAATGTTTCCAGGGGAGGCGGATCTCCTTTGAGAATGGCGAAGCAGTCGTGCATCCGGGACAGTGCATGCAGCAGCGCTGCATCCGGGACGTGCAGAGTGGGGCAGGCCACCTGTCCCGGGCCTGCCGGCACCCTAGCCGGCTTTGTTTTGGTGCCTCGCATTGGCTCGCAGGACGCCTGCAACGCGCGCTACGTGATTCATTCCTCACGGGGTGTTCATCTTGTGTTTTCGAGATAGTTCAGTGTTAATTTGAGAAGTATTCGTTCTTCTGAAATATTGAATTATTTTGTTTTGTGTCAGATTCTAATTTCAAGTTTAAACCGTTACGTTGTAGTTTACGAATTGCATTTATATTCTTGTATTTTATTTATTACTTCGATTAATCAAAACGCTTGAACTGAAAACTGTTTTGGTGTTTAGCTATACGTAGCACTGGGCCTATATATAAATATGGATTTCAGTATACTGAGTTTAACATATTTAATGCTGGAAATAATCAAACTATTTGTGGGTGTTTTTGTTTTTAATGCATGGAAACTTACGTAGCGTCCTTGCTGGTAGTTTAAATGAAGATAAGGAGGTGGGACCGGGACCATACATCGGAGGGCATTTTCTGTTAACTTATCGCTTGTGTTGTTCTAAACGGCAAACATTAGCGGGCACAGTCTGCTCCCGTGAAGATATAGCCCCAAAAATGCTGGGCGAATAGAAAATGAGATACTCCTTCAGAATACGATAAGAGCCATTCCCAAGCAGCAGAGATGGATTGCTCCTGAAACCCAACGCCGCCACCGCCCCGCTACTGAGAACCCATTTCGAGGAAAGCATGCGACCTCGATGAAGAGTAAATCACGGCCACATGAGCGCTGAACCCGACGCCCGGGACACTGCACGGTCTGCTGGAGTCACTTGTGTCTCAGGAGCCTTGCAGACAGCCTTGACAATCAAGGACTCCCTGATCACAATATCAGAGAAGCAACGGCTAAATTTATCTCACTTTGCGTTCCCAAGTCCAGCACCCTCCCAATAACTCTTGTCCTGTGTAAGAGGAGGTTAGCTTATCAGAAACGGTTTAATTAATGAGCAGTTCATATAAATTCCGTAATGTAAACGTACGAGTTTGAAAAATCGTTTCCAGCAGCTCAGCTCAGCCACAGCACTCAGAGGTAGGCTATACGACTCTGAGCCAGATTCCTTGTTTTTCTCAAAAAGGAGAACTTGTTTCATGTGGTTTGATATATCGGCCAGAATTTGCGTAATGTTTGTGTACGCTTTAAGAGGTCTGTACAAGGGCCAGTATACACAGAGAAGAAGTCAGCGTCACAAGACGTTCCTCCCCCCAGACGTACCTCTTCTGAAAAACGACATGTACGAATCCACATTGCCATAAATACTAGGCCAGTATTCCAGCAGCGACGTGATTTAAGTGAACAGAATTGCAGTCTGTCTGAATGGAAACATATGGTCCGCCCTCCCTTGGAAATTAACCAGGAAAGGCAACGAGTTTAGTGTTGGAACACTGACTAAATTCATGCCTTTTGTAGTTGACTTGATTATGGCAGTAATTGCATCATCTGGTCTCGGACGCTATGGTATGGATTACATATTTCTTTTGTAAATTATGTTCCTACCTATACTTTCAAAATTACTAAAGATGTTAAATGACCTAACTGCAATTTTTTTTTTTGGTTCTGAACCTCGATTGAACATGTAATTTATTTAATCCATTTCAGTTTTTTCCTTTAAAATGTATTATTATATCATGGGGAAAATCTAGATCGGATGAAGAACGAAAAATCATGATGCAATTCTTTCAATTTTCACATCAGCATTTTAAGTGACGTCATCTAAAAAAAAAACTTTGTCCACGCCCACCAAATAAAAATCATTTGTAGACTGGAATGACATGCATCCGTCCTCTCATCTGACAAAGGCTTATCCGGGCGGTGGAATAACATGTAACGCTAGAAGCCATTCTTATCTATACAATCAGTACGGACGATCCCGTTTCTATTCATTGCATACAACCTGTGGCATTTTTTTTCTCCGATAATGTGTCGCAGTTATGCAGAATGCTGACAAAAAATGCTCTGTTCTTGCATCTTTCCCCCAGTTCTGTCCTGTCAAGGCACAATTACAGTTCCACACGCCCCGCACGTTTCACTGAAACAGATACTTCAGCCTCAGCTTTTTTACTGACTCCAGTTGCGAAACAAACAAAGCGGTCCGCCTTCCTGTCTTACGTCAGCGATCGAGCGTCACCCATGGTGCCATCCGATAAAAGTGCACGTACACTGGGCATTGGTCGACTGAATTGTTTAATAGCAGTGAGATTAACGATTAATGTAATAATCAAAATAACACCTTATACCTATTCGTACGGTAAAAAGAGCCTGAAGGTATATGGCGGTAGACTATTGCTTTGAGACTGTTTATTGTGTGGGGGCGGGGTTACCCGCATAGAAGTGGGCGGGGACAGACCCCGGAGGTTATATAAAAGCTTTACGGCGGTTCTGAAGCAGCGTCTATTACAGCGCAAGTGAGGATTTGCTTTGCTCTGCTCACTCGCTGACCGCGGCCGTCCAGGCAGTGGGTGGAAGAGATCGGTTTTAAGGCTGGAGTTCCACGGACAGCGAACGGGGTAAGGAGGCTACGTTGGCTGTGAGCTGTAGCCTGAAGGGCCGGGAAATAAAGCTCCTGCCCGAAGCGGTGGCGGATGCGCTGGAAGCTTCGGCAATGCGACAAATGCTGGGACAAAGTGGGTTCAGATAGACGTGCTTTTAATGCGTGTGATATGGATGCAGGTCGTGCGCTATCGAGCCTGTTGCTAAAATTAACTCATGATTGCAAATCCTAAACGTGGTCATCTAATATTTAACATGGATACAAGTTGCTTTAAGATGAAAATCGTTTGGGTTGGATGTCACGAGTGGCTACGCAAAAACAAAGTAGCTTGCTTTACCTTTCAAAGCTGGTTATCTAGCATTTGGTTATCTTAACTATAACCAGCAGTCGGGGGTTTGCCCAGCTTTTGCTTTATCAGCATGTATTATTTCTTTATGGTGGAGGGTAGGAATACAAACTCATAAGACAGATTTTCTTGGAGTATTTTTTTTCTGTCCGTGGCAGAAAAATTAAAGGAAATGAATTAACTGAGATCTTGACGCGTTTTTCGTAGGAGTCCCGTGTAAAAACCCGATTCGCCGTCAGGACGTTGGTTTCAGGCCCCATCTGTCCGTCGCCTTTCCGAGTGTCGGAGTGAGCGCACCTTCCGTCATCCGCATCCCGACGAAGCAGATCTAACCAGAAACCGACGACAAAATGGTGCAGAATAAGATCAACGAAGTCACCGGATTTCACCGCTCGTTTAAGGTGAGGCGCCCGAGCACCATGGGCTGAACAGCCTCCTCCTAACACATCCACTAAGGGATCACATGTAAGGTCTGCTCTGACTATCGGAGGGTGGACGCTGTATTTCTGCCTGTGTGACAGGCATACCTCATTGGTTTAGTTGATGCTGCAGTTCTGCTGTGTAACATGCAGTTTGTGGCAAAGCGGCCGGGTAATGACGGGAACCCCGGCAGTGCTGCGGCGTTCCGGCCTGAATGTACAGCTGATGTCTGACAGCACTCGCCCAGCATTTGTATATAACCTACGTCAGCTCTTCCTGTCCCCCATTAGCAGAGCTTAAAGGAAACGTCAGGTTTTAAAACTGAAATATTCACTTGACAGGTTAACTGTTGCTGTTACTGTCTCTTGTCGTTTGTGTCGCAACCGTGTATTGTAGATGTCTTTTTACTGTGTAAATATGCGTGTTTGTCCTATATCTATCTCTCTATCTATCTATCTCTCTATCTATCTATCTCTCTATCTATCTATCTCTCTATCTATCTTCTCTTCGATGTCTGTAGCTGGAGTTCACTAGCAGCATCATTAGGAAGGTCGATGTTGAAATTAAGTGCCGCTGGAATGCTGTGGAATTGGTTTTAAGCGCACGGTTACTTCTGTTAGCTAGTATGATCAATCTGGAAGCTATGTGTTGTTGTTAAGCCGAAGGGTAAATTGCTTTGGGCGCGAAGTCTTTCCGCTTCGTTAACGTGCAGCTCCTCTCCGTTAAGGGTCAGAATCCCTTCGAGTCGGACGACTTCACCAAAACAGGCTCCCATCTCCATGAATCCGCCTTCAATTTCGATTGTCCCTCTCGACCCGGTAAGACTTGGCGCACTGTCGGCGTGCAGTTAACCACAAGTGGCCCTTTTTGTCCACTGGGGGGAGTGTTGCAGTAGTGGGCTCTTTGTCAAAGTTAATTTGGGATTAGCAGATGTGCAGTGTAAAGGCTGCGTGCGTACGGGAAGGGGGGAGTCACCCCTGTTTCCGTGGTGAGTGTAATCCAAGCAGGACCGTGGCTCGGGCAGGTCTCTGCAGTGACCTCCTTTGTAAGCCGCTGCTTTTTATAGCCGGACACAATCGCTCACGTGCCTCTTGGCTGTCCTCTGTCCCCAGACATGCCGGCCAGCCAGCCCATCGACATCCCCGATGCTAAGAGGCGGAACAAGAAGAAGAAACGGTGTCGGGCCACAGACAGCTTCTCCGGGCGCTTTGAAGGCGAGTCCACCTCTCCGCTTGATAGACCGACCCTGGTGGATGTTGGTTTAAATCCCTGCAATGGTTCCATTAACCCGATTTGCTAAAATGCTCTGGTACAGGTTTGGCCTCTATTAAGGGGATGGATGAAATTTTTTAATTTATTAACTTAATGTAATCTCCCCCTCTCCCCCAGATGTGTACAGGCTGCAAGAGGAGCTGCTTGGGGAGGGGGCTTATGCTCGGGTTCAGACCTGCGTCAACTTGATTACCAACAAGGAGTATGCTGTCAAGGTACGCCACACCTCCTGCGATCATGGCAGACGTCGGTACCGGGTGTTTTTTGGGTGGTGTTGGGGGTTAAGGTTCCTGACGTGGGGGTGAACTGTAAATAAACACAGCTGGAAGGATGGGGGCTCTGAGGGGCCGATAATATTCAGCTTGGAAGTTGAGTGTTTTGACTGGGAGGGGGGGGGTGGTGGGGGCGCGGCTCTGTGTTGATGTGCTGGATGATGGGAGCTTTTGCAGTCNGGGAGCTTTTGCAGTCGAGTCCCCCCCCCCCCCCACCCTCCCCAGAATCACGTGACACCTCTGTGCACGCGTCAGTTTTAGCTTGTGACTGCTGTGGCACGTTACATTTTCATATGACTTTCAGTGAAACTGAACCTCTGCCTCAGGCATTGCGGGGGGGAAGGGTGTGGTATTGAGCACCGTCCAGTCGTGTGCCACATGCAAACCGTCTCATTTAGCCACTCGCATAGCTTGCAGGGCTACCATCCTGGTGGTTTTCAAGTGCTTGTTTGTTTGGATGTTTTACTGCTTAATGTACCCGAATCCTGAGGGGAGTGAGGTCCTTTATTGCTCAGCTGTCAGTTGTAAATATGCACTGCAAGCTCAGCACAGAGGGGAAAGAAAAAAAAAACTATTTGTCAGTCACCTCAGCGAGGTAACCAATCAGGAGTGAGGGGTGGTGGCTTCCAGCCCTTTTCTTGTCAGTCATTCGTCTGGAGGGCCTTTGGCGGAACAGTATGTTCTGGCAACTTCGCCGAAGTGCAAAACAAGAGGGGGGAGGGGTCGGGTCAAGAGTGTAGGTATTTTCACATCCAATCTATGTTTTTTAAAGGGGAAGGAATTCAACAGCTAGTTTCCGGCAAGTGTCCTATTTTTTTTTTCTGAGGGTTACTTTAAGATATACTTACAAAGCCTCAACCCACAGACTGTTTACGTCAGAATTTGCGGAAATAAGTAGTCTGGTGTTGACAAGTCTGATTGTGTTTGGAGTCTCACTCCAGACAGTGTTTTTTATTGCTTTTGGATAGACCTTAAATATCAACCTTTTGCTGTCAGACTTCTGCCCCTTAAAGGGGAAGTGCACATTTGCTTTAGTGAATATTTGTCCCCTCATAAGTGTCAGTTAGCTTTGGACTGTGAGCCTGAGACGTAGGGGGAGGCGTTTGGGTGTTGGCTCAGGATCGGTTCTTTGGTTCGTTGGGGAAGGGGGGTGGAGTTGGGGTCGGATCCCTGCGCAGATGTTTGTGTGTCTGCCAATTCCCCCTTCCGGGCGAAAGTGAGTGGAGCAGTCAGTCCGTTGCCCTGCCTGGGCCCCCTGTTTACCGCGCTAGAGTGATTTATGATCCCATGGTGTTATGACGGTAGAAATGTGCCGTGTCCCTCACCGACGGCTCCTATCTTCGGTCACGCGGCGCCATAAACCATAGACCTGATGTACTTCTGATTAAATCCCCTCCTCCACCCACCCTTTTAGACTGGATAATGACCTCATTGCAGCATCAGTGCTTCCAGGTCGATTAGACCTGTGTCTGCTTACGTCTTCAGTTTGGTTTGAGAGAAGCTTCTTTCACAGCCTACGGGGCAAGCGGCTGCTGACTGGTGTGAGTGAGCACCCGGTGGGGGTGACGACACGGCCAGGCTACCGTTAATCCCAGAAGCTCACTCTGGGGCTTTCACAAGATGGGTACATTTTAGGAGGCATCGTGTGGATTCGGAGGTAGCTGGAATGGGAACAGTTTAGCCAGCCCTTGTCTATATGAAGCACGTCTGGCCCAAACCTGTCTCCTTAAGAAGGGGGCGGAGCAGGAAATGGGTGTGTCTGTCAGGTTGTGGGATGACTGGTGTCTGATTGGAGCAGGCAGTTCATGGTGGGCGTGGCCTGTGTGTCCTTGCAGATCATTGAGAAGAGGCCCGGCCACAGCCGAAGCCGTGTCTTCAGGGAGGTGGAGATGCTCTACCAGTGTCAGGGACACAGGTAACCACCCCCCCCACCATTGGCCCACAGATGATGTCATGCCTCAGGCATGTCAGCTCTCAGCTCACTGCAATTTATTATTATTTTTAAAATGCCCTGTGGTTCTTATTGGGAGTGACTGACATTAAAAACAGTATGGCACTCTCAGGTTGATTTTTAAAAGAAACAATGAGCGACATGCTTAAGTTGCTTACGAGCCACAAGGCAAAATAAAATGCGGCTGTTAGCGTAACACCAGTAATAGTCAGGACCTGCCTAGTTTCAGGCCATCTAACCCTAACTCCATCTAACCCTAACTCCATCTAACCCTAACTCCATCTAACCCCGAACAGCACTCCACAGGCCTGTTTGCCTCCCGCGCTGGCAGCTGATCCCTTAATGTTGCTGTAGCTGTTCAGGTGCTAATTTTGTTGTTTTTTCCCCCTGTTCCTGCTGCAGAAACATCTTGGAGCTGATCGAGTTCTTTGAAGAAGAGGACAAATTTTACCTGGTGTTTGAGAAGCTCAGGGGAGGTGGGTCCATCACGGCTGTGTTATCGAGTTTCTGCACATTTTGGCCGGATTGACGCTTCCTGCCGGTTCTGATTGGCTGTCATTCTTCCCCCTCAGGCTCGGTTCTGACCCACATCCACAAGAGGCGGCACATTAGTGAGCACGAGGCTAGTGTGGTGGTGCAGGACATCGCCAGTGCGCTCGACTTCCTGCACAACAAAGGTAGGATCACCTCGCGACTGGAGCTGGGAGTAAAACCGTCGCCTCCCATCTGCCCCCCTCCCCTCCTGACGGCTCGCCATGTCCCCCTAGGAATGGCCCACCGAGACCTGAAGCCCGAGAACATCCTGTGTGAGCACAGCGACAGGGTGAGAGCCTCCCTCCAACCTGCCGGGAAATCGGTCTCCTGTTGGGAGCTCTGCTCATCTAACAGTATCTTCTTTGGGACTTTTGCAGGTCTCGCCCGTGAAGATATGCGATTTCGACCTGGGCAGCGGGATCAAGCTGAACAGCGATAGCTCCCCGATCTCCACCCCCGAGCTCCTCACGCCGGTGAGTGAGCGTCCGACAGACCGGCCTGAACACACCTGACCCAGGGGCCCGAGCCTGGCAGGCTGCGCCCGGCTCAGAGGTCACGGGCGTGACTGGCATGACGGGCGTGTTTCCCGGGGAATTCCCACATGCCGCTTTTTATGTCCGTTCTCATGTTTTTATTTGCGTTAAATTTCTTAATATAGACTGTCTACAGCTGTAAAAACCATGGCTGTTTCGCAGCCTGATATTTTCTTTCTCCGGCTATCAGAGAAGCTGAGGTGTGGGGGGGGGCGGATTTTGTGAGCTCAACCTCCCTGCTACGCACCCCAGCCCAGGCTAAATTTTCAGCCTTGAATCCCATTGACTGTCTCTGCTGGGATTGCTAAATCAGAGATGGTTTGGCTTTTATATGTGCCGTGGGGGCTTTTTGCTTAGCAACAAACCCCCCCCCCCCAGCCCGCCATTATGCCTCCTACATGCTGCTGCTGTTTTTAAAGCTCTGCTGGGTGAGTTATTAGAGTCTGCGACGTGGGCTACGGCTCTGGCCTGCGCCCCAGTTTGACACCTGGCCCGGGTTCCATGCCAATATCTTCACCCCAGTGAATGAGAAACAGCGGGTACAAGCCTAGGGTCGCCGGGGGGCTCGCAGTACCCGTGAGATGCCCCACGCCTCCCTGCCCACCTTCCTTCTCATTTTGCACGAGTGCATCTCCGCTTCCCTCCCCCGCCTTTGTTTCCGCAAAAACTTATCAGCAGCTTGGCAGAGAGTCGTCCCCCACCTAGCAACTGCGTGCTGATAGGCCGTCTGGTGGGAGGGCGATGAGGGGGCGTGGCCAGAGTCTCCTGCGGTTAGGTTCTTTATATCAAGACCTTGAAGTGAAAGGAAGGCTGTGTGCTCTGTTCTAGACGTTCTTCAGACGTAAAGTTCACAGCAACCGGTGTAGCCTGATCACACATTGGTCAGTTTCATCAGCCCAGGGGACTGTAATACTCAGTTGGGAGGAGTCTGAGGAGTGTCGCTTTCTGAGAAATGAAGCCGTGCCTGAAAGTGTCACAAAGCGGTGGGGGGTGGGGTGGGGGCTGTGGGCTTGCAGCTGCTGCGGTCCGCCTCCTCGCATGAGTCATCGTGGCCCGACCAGCCAGGAAAGCCCCAGCTGCCGGGGATCTGAGCAGGCAGCCGTGCCGACTGACGCAAGCCGCAGGAGGCCTTGCAGCAGAGAGAGGATGTGCATCCCCTCCCAGGCCGGCCGCACGCTGGCTTATGTAACCGGGTTCCAGCCGCACCTCGTAACGGTCGGAGTGTGCGGATCGCTGTAACGGCTTTTAAAGTGAGATAAACGGTCCGTTCACTCACCCTGTTTGCGTAGAAGCCATTTTCAGTCCTTTCTTTGTAAAGGTTAACCCTCCTGCACAGAAGTGGTTATCGTAGTTTTGCGATTTGTTTGATTGACTTTGTTCTGAGTTTAAATTTGTCTGTTTTGTAGGTCAGGCTTGTTCTGTATTCTCTGTGGGGGGCGAAAGCTCGTCTCCCCTGAACCATAACCCTGCCACTTATTTTTCTTCGCTGTCACGCTCGTGTGGGTCTGTGGGGGGGGGGATTGATTGTCGTCCCCAGTGTGCTGAGGCTGCAGCTCCGGCTCGGCCCGACCTGGCGTTACCAGAGCCATTGTCTGGCCGTCTGGGGATTCTTGCGCTGAGTCCCGACTCCGTCAGCAGACAGCTGGCTTTTGTGTTCTGATCTCGTGGCGTTTAAATCCCCCCCCAGCTAATTTTAGCCCGGCATTCCCCTTTGCACTTGTGGTCAGAGTCCGTGGATTTTTACCGCCCTCGGGGCAGTTTTTGGGCTGCTTTGCTTTTGGACCCAGCACTGTTTTCCCCACCGCGGAGGCGGCTGACTCGTGACCACGCTGCTCCTCGGTACGCTTAGTACCGCTCCGGGCTCCGATGCCATTGGCCCACTGCTCCGGTGGTCACCGGTTCTGCGAAACTGGGATAATTCTGGGAGAGCGGTTTTTTTTTTTTTTTTTTAGGGGAAAGTGTCAAGGCTGTTTAGGGGAAGTGTTGTGCAGAACCAGGCTTTTTTTTAAAAAGAAAAAAAAAAAAAAAAAGAATTAAAGCAGACCTCTGTGCTGCTGCCGTCTGTAGATCAGAAGAACAATATGAGCGGTGGGGGAGGTGGTTTTGGATTGGGGGGGCCGGACCCCCACCATAAGACCGCCTATGTGGTTTGGGTGGATTTATCTCCTGCCCTCACCTCGGTCTTGGGATTCTTATGCTCTCACTCGCACTTATGGACTGTCAGAATGTAGACCAGCCCAGCTGGAACGGAGTGAAGATCAGGCTGTGGAGGGAGGGGCCAATCCAAGATGGAGGATCAGAGTTGGTGGCTAAAGCCTGTTGCTTTTGTTCTGCCTAACCCCCCCCCCCCCCCCGCCTCCCCACAGTGTGGCTCAGCGGAGTATATGGCCCCTGAGGTGGTGGAGGCCTTCAACGAAGAAGCCACCATTTACGACAAACGCTGCGACCTCTGGAGCCTGGGGGTCATCCTCTACATCATGCTAAGTGGCTACCCCCCCTTCGTGGGCCACTGTGGCAGCAACTGTGGCTGGGATTGGGGGGAGCCCTGCCACGCCTGTCAGGTAAGGGTGTGGCCATGGCAACGGCGGGTTGGGAGGCGTAGTTCCAGAAACATGACCCTCTGGCCCCTTGTCCCACAGAACATGTTGTTTGAGAGCATCCAGGAGGGAAAGTACGAGTTTCCCGAGAAGGACTGGGCTCACATCTCCGCCGGCGCCAAAGACCTCATCTCCAAACTGCTGGTGCGGGACGCCAAGAACCGGCTCAGCGCCGCCCAGGTGCTGCAGCACCCGTGGGTCCAGGGGGTGAGTTCTGTCCTGGGTTCGATTAACCCCGTGGCATCGGTAATTTGACTTGACAGGAAGTGCGTTATATCGTGTGACCATCTGCTCCATCTACTGGGGTTTTCTAACCTCCGTCTTTCTCCTTCCTAGTCTGGCCCCAACACCTTACCAACATCCAACTTGCTGCAGAGGTGAGTTTGCGTCCTCGTTTGACACATCTGGAACGGAGTGGTGTGTATGGAAGTGTCATTAATAATGTCCCCTCCCGCCCTCCCCCTCAGGAACAGCAGTGCCAAGGACTTGACGCTCTTCGCGGGGAAGGCGGTGGCCATGAACCGGCAGCTGGCCGAGCAGGAGGAGATCGAGAAGGAGCAGCAGCAGTGCCCCCTGGTGGTCACGGTGGGCTCCATGCGCCTCTCCCCGCCCTCCGACTCCAAGCTGGCCAAGAGGCGCCAGCGAAGCAGCCTCCTGAAGGGAGAGCCAGTCTCCGCCTCGGAGCTCCACCAGCGCCTGGCCCCGCTGGTGATCGTGGGGGACTGCGCCTGAAGCCATGGCCCCACCCGCCCCTTCATCAGACAAGCTCATCGTGGCCCCTCCCACCCCTCGAAGCCAGTACCCCAGTCACAGCACTTAAGAGACCTCAATTCGGAGGTGGAGGGGTGTGAGCTTTTGAGGGGGGGGGCTGGAATTGGACTAGAATGGGTTTCGAACTTGACAGAAAAAAGTTAGCATGAGCTGAGACACCAAAGCATTAGCATTTCCTGCTGCTTCCATTTACAACAGACTGGATCCACTGTGAATTTAATTTATTTAGCGATACTAAGGATGAACCATCAATAATACATTCTGTTAGTATTATGAAGCACCCCATCCTCAGATAGGCACACCGATCAGGATGTTCCGGCAGCGACCTCAGTGAACCGGTCGCCAGCGGCACAGTGCCTGGTGACCTTTGACCTCTGACCTCTCCCATCTCGCAGAGTCTGTCTAATTGCCGAATTTCTCCCCCTTCCTGGGCGTGACATCCCACCTCCGGGTGTGTTTCTGACACGGCCCAAGGAGCGGAACGTGAACTTCGGTTAGAAGTTGAAGAACGGCCATCTTCTGGTCGGACCGCTTGACTAGAAGGTGTCACCCTAGTGCCGGTCTGGTCATCACATGGCTGCTCGGCGGCGACCTCAGAACTGCAGTGAAATCTCAGTAGATCAGGTGTCTCCCCTCAGGGAGGGGGGCAGGCTTAATGAGGGGCGACCATTCTGTGTCCTCCCCCTGTGAATTTAGGGCAGGTGCGTGACTGTCGTATTACTGGGTAGGAAAGTGGCAGCTGCTGCGTGTTCTTCCCCGTTTCTCCGATAGCCGCTGCAGGTCAGTGACGTCCGTCAGATGATTGATCAGCAGGTGTCTATCAACTCCTCCTTTTCGCGTTTGGCTCGGTCTCCATTCCCTGCCACCCTTTTTCCGAGAGCGGACGGGATAGACGAACACAGATGAGTTTCTCATTAGCTGTTTTCAGGGACTCGTACAAACCCGACCTCCTCCAGTGCAGCCCGGGTGTCTGTTTAAAGCCTGCGGCATTTGGGTCTAGCTAACTGCTAAATTTAGCAGCAGCTTAATCAACCCCCACCCCCTTATTGCCACGGTGCCCGATTGTAATGTTCTTTAATCTGAGAGGTTAGGATCTTAATCTTGCAGGTAAGAGCAGGAGCTATGTGTATATCGGGGGGTGGGGGGGAGATCAACGGATCAAAGAACATTCCAGAATTCTTCCGCGGAATTGTAGCTGTATGGACGAGATTCTCAATGTTTACTTTAGTTTCACTTGTGGGTAACCGCGAAACCCAAAACTGTGCCACACTGCTGTTTTTATGGCTGTTAAGCTTTTGTTTTTAATATAATTATTATTTTTACTTTTAAAACAGGTGTGCAACTGTTTGCGTGAAACACCAAATGTCTTAAAGCTTGTGTTTTAAAAATCGTTGACCTGTGTGGTGTGAGCGAGGCAGTGCGAATGTTAAAGGGGAGGGGGGGACTTTTTAAATTTATCTAAATATATTGGTATAAGTTGGAGAGGGGCTGCTTTCCCTCCTCCTCCTTTTTTTTATTATTATTATTATTATTTTTTTTTTTTTTTTTTTAAATGCATGTGGCTGTTTCCCCACAGGGTCTCAGGCCAGCTGACTAACGAGATTCATGGTTCAGGCCTTAGCAGATGGTGGCCCAACAGTCAGATCTACACCTCTAGTTCCCCTGGCTTATCGGACCAGTCCTTCCGTCACCAGCTTGTCATTCTGTGTGGTGCAGATTGTACTTTTGTAACCTTTCCACAGAAATTGTTTTGGAGTGTGTGTGGGGGGGGGGTCTTTATTTGTCTTACAGTAAGACTTTAATTGAGTTTCTTTCGACATCGTGTGGGGAGAGAAGCTACTTTTGCTGGAAAGGAAGGTGTGAGCTGACTGGTTCATTGAAGACTCTTACGGTATCAGTATTTGGAATCGTTCAGGCCCATTTTACTCTGGCACATGCTAAGTACAGCTGCAAGCACCAGCTGGGTGTCGGGCTTCCTGTCTGGGGAGGCCACCTCTTATATCTTGCCATTTTTCCACAGTGTTTTTAGGGGTGGGGGGCGGGAATAAATTGAGATACTGCGGATTGTTTACTGTTGAAATATGCAAAGGAGCACATTATACTTGTAATTCAATCAAGTGAATCTTATGAGTACTGGAAGCCTTGACTCAAACCTAAGGGAGTGTCTGCATTTTCCTTGACGTGATGAGATGTGTAATATGTCCTTTATCCCACACAAGGCTTGAACAAGGGATCATCTGAAAGCAATTTGAATGTTTTTCTGCTTTTAAAAGGGATGCATGGTGCAGGTTCTTTGTAAGGCCCATTTGGTTGCTGTGTGTTTATCACAACACGTTGAGTCTCCGGCTGCTCCCCCCCCCACCCTCCCCAGGGGTGAAAATTGGAAATGTTACACTTAAATAAAATAAAGCACTTTAATGTGACTGGTGGGTCACTCAAAGCAAAATTTCTGACGACAGTTTTCCCAGAATTTTGTATTGTATTTTTTGAGAACTTAAATAAAATGCTTTGAACCACAAAGTTCTGTCCTGTTATTCCTTGTGCCTAAAGCTATACAGGCAATGCTGAGACCAACAGACTTAACAGCAGAGTTTCTGGAAGTCACAAACTAGTTATATCCATACTTCTTCACTTAGTTTAAATAAATATTAACCTCCTGAGTCCTGGGCTTTTGTTTGGTGTGCATGTTTTATTTCCTTTAGCTATTTGGGATTAGTAGAACCTCATAATCATAAAAACCCAACATTATTATTTTTTAACATAGTAATTTTAAACAAAAATGATGTCCTTATATGAGGACGTAGGGTCTCAGGAGGTTAAGCAGGGATTCTCCACGTTACATTTATAGGGCTTCAGACTTCCGGCTGAGAAACTTATCCAGTTCTTTTTGAAATACTCCGAGGTCAATTTCAGCCCCCGCTGCTCTTACTGCTGTAAAGCTGGTACTTGCATAATGTAAACGTGACTGTTCCTGATCAAATGTAAACAGACTTGTAGTTTCTAGTCTGATGCAACCAGAAGTAATGGCTGCAGTGCCACGGCTCCGCCCCCTCCGTTTCCTTGAGCAGCGAAATTCTTCTGCTACGTATGTCCTTGGGGCGTGCGATAAGCTGGGAATTTACCCAAGACGTCAGAGGGTACGGCAAGGTGGCGTTTCCTCACGTGCAAAACCTGCTGAGATGCGTTTTTTTTATCAAGCCCACAATGTTAACTTAGCCGTATTAAAACAACGGTACACGATTGGAAGAGTCGAGTAGTGTAGGAGCCAAGGATAAAACTCAAGGCAACTGCAGAAACATGCCGGTATAATTTTGCAGACAGCCGTGGAAACTATTTCATCAGACCATCCAAAGCGTCACCCTCCACCTTTCCACCTGTGCCCCCACACGACGCATTATAACAAAATCCGGGCCACCCAGCGCACTGCGCTCCACAAACAGCTGCACATACTTTTGCTGGGCCGATAGTGACACCTCACGGTGGCCACTTCTTTTCATATGACATTTATATATGTATTCTCATGCACAAATTATGTTTATTAGACCAGCTACAATACAAAATATGAATTTTATTGTGGGACATATAGCAATACAATGCTATAATATTGTATTTGTCAATAGTGGGTAACATATTTTCTAAAAAACGTTGAATTTTCTTCCTACGTCATAGTACAGGACAGTTCCTTGCGTGTGGCTCAAAAGTGCCGCACTTGCTCCCTCTAGCGGTTGATCTCTTTCCCCCCCCGAAAATAGAGACGTTGCCTGTCTATTCATGAATACTGTCAGGAAAGGGTGACAGTGAAATTTTTATTTCATTGTATGTCCGTCAATAAATGTCAAACGTATATATAAATTTAGGCTCATCTTCATTTTCTATGGCACAGGAAGCATTGGTGGTGGAAGATCTCCCATAAAGAACGCTTGTTTGTAGATCTTAACCAAAGAAAATTATTTTCAAATGATTTCAACGCCATTTCTGTTAACGCAATTCTTCAAATTCACATCCAGAGTATAATTTCTTATCCATTGATACTTCTTTCCCTGCTCCAATGAAACCATCATTTAAACACTGGTCACTATGATCTACGCCCACTAGAGGGCGGTGTGACTCCGTGATTAAACGTTCAGTAAGGAATTCATCGGCTAATGACACGGTGCGCCACAGAGCCGGATTACAGCTCTGCAACTGAAGCGTGAGGCCGCAGTACAACCCGCCAAGCCAACGGCTCAAGCAAATTAAATCTAAATGTTGATCAAATGGCTGTCCGGGATTCCCTGAGGACTGGGTTGGAAACACTGCACTCGGGTATAGTTTATAAGACAAATGAGGCTTCGGAATTAGGCTCATTTTTACATAGCGCATTGTTGAATTTAATGAGTAAACACATACGACACATCTATCATGTTTTTACACTAGACAGGCTGTGATTATACCATCTAAAATATTTGAAATGTCTAGACATTCAGGCTCAATAATAGATAATTAAGGCCTCAGTCGTAACTGCATATAGAGTGATTTCGTAATTTGACATGCGTTAGCAATTAATAACAAAAAAGCTGTACATGTACATTTGTGTGTGGCCGCGCGCGTGCCTGCGCATTAATTGATGATGCAGCAACCCTCTTCCCAAGCGAAACACCATTCATTTTCCCAGTCAGTGTCTTCTGTATGTCAGAAAACAAATTAACATAATGAACAAGAGAACGACTGCAGTTTTGCCCAACAAGTAGTAGATCAGAGGGCAGTTTGAGACGATGGCCTTCACCTGTGTGGTACCTGAAGAAGAACAGCAAGGGAGTCCTATTTAAACGCAACGCCGAAACGCAATTCAGCATCTCATATAGACAAACAGCAGTCCCTTCGACTTGGTTGTAGTTTAAGTATTTTATACGGCTTGCCCATCCAGAGGAAGGCAAATTATTATTATTATTATTCATGCCCACTCACCAGTAACTCTTATTTGAACGCTCTTGCTTCTCCAGAGGGGGATGCCGGTGGGTATTGAAGCGCAGCAGTTGTAATGGCCGCTGTCAGAGGTGGTGGCCCGGCCCAGGTGCAGCGTCCCGTTTCCGCCACGGGTGTCGCTGCGCTCGCAGTTGCCGCGTGTCCAGAAGAGGGTGGCGTTGAGCGCGGATCGGGCGGCGCAGTGCACGCTGACCGCCTCTCCTTCGCGTACATCCAGTGACGCGTTGGACACACTGACGTCCAAATCTGAAAGATAAAAGGAAAAACGAAGAAATGACGGGGTCAAAAACAGCACCTCCTGCCCCGCACTTTAACACCTCATTTGATCTTGGGCTTTGTTATTACCGTTTATTAACAATAGTTAATGAAAACATATTAATGATGAAATACATCCTATCTGATACAATAGTTCTGTTTTTTCGCAACTAATTTAGTAAATCTTTAAATAAAACACAATAAAAATACTCCGCTTCTTCAGGCAACGTTTCGTATCTTTAAAGTGGAACTGGAAGAATCTGTCATGTTTTCCTCGACATTTACACAGCAGCTAACACAATTTTTCGTTTGTCTTACCGACCACCCTCATAAACACGTTGTTGCTGGTAGCGGCCGGGGGACGTGTCTGGCAGTGGTAGGTCCCGTTGTGCCTCATCTGTGCCGCAGTCACATTCAGACGATAGGTTTTTGAATTGTCTCTTAATAGTTTTACATTGCTGTCGTTTGACAAGAGCTTGTCGTTAAGGTACCACTGAACAGTCGAGTTCGGGTCGAGGCACTGGGCGTTGCACGTCAGTGTGAAATCTTGGCCCACTCCAGTGTAACGCTCAAGCCGCTGCATTCTAATTGTTGTGTCACAGGTGTCTAGGGTAAGATACAGACATGCACACATAATATTTCGTCTGCTAGAACAATACAGATCAATGAGATAAATGAGGTTTTAACCAAAAGCTTTGCTTGCTTTATTTGGTCCAACTTTATATTCAACGAATGAAGTAAGATAACTCGATTGGTTTTCTTCTTTGTGAAGTCCTTTGCGTCACATTACAGAATGAGCATAATTGTAAATACAATCATGTAATTACCTATACCCATTAATATTTTTTTTTCTATAATACTACGATATTTTGTTTTCAGGATATGCTATCTGTGTACTGTGAGGTTTTTAAATGTGTTTGCACCACGTTTACCTGTTTGCACTGTGTACTGTCTTTGCACTTTGCCACTATATATGTTCGAATATATGTTCGTCTTGCTCGCTACGTTCTTGCTCTCATAGGCACCATTTCCCCCGGGATCGATAAAGTTTATTGCAATCTTAATCTTTATCTTAGTAATTATAATTAGCATTGCCGTACTATCCCTGTGACCCTGGCCAACTTTTGAAGAGCTGTGGATGGATTGTTATAATTAATATGTCTTTTTCATCATAGAACACCTATATATAGAGCATGATCATTGGTTAACATAACACAATGGATCTAGATTGAAAAACTACAGAAGGTATAGGTAATCAAGAGATACTAAAGAGGTACTCAAAAGATACCATCTATACTTACTGATGACTTGGACTGTGAGCGCTGAAGTAAGGAGCCACAAGAAGGCATTACCACTCTCTGTTATCCTCCCCAGATGCATTGTGGCCATCTACAATGACCACCTGTATGGGACCCTGGGTCAAACTGAAGAAGAAACGAACAACAAACAATCAATGACCTCCTCCGCACACAATGCCTGCGGCAATGTTCACGCTCAAGGCAGAAATTCTGCTATTGCCTGCAGATCTTTGTGTTGATTGGTCCCTTATAAGGAAACTAGGTTTTTTTTCAGGTATCTGATAGTTGTTTTTTTCTGAAGAAGGGCTACAATATTCTAAAGGCTAGACAATGGCCACACAAACATGCAGCCAATAACACTATGGCCTGTCATCTTACGGGAAGACCTTCCCAATGTTCATGTATGAACAATAGAATAGAAGACCTTTATTGTCATTGTAAAAATTACAACATAATTACGAAATTATAAAAAAGAATTAGGAACTAAAACTCATGTGGAAAATGTCCAAATTATGTAACTGAAAATTTAACTTGGTGTTCAGACCTAGTTCTACACACACACACATACTTTATTATTGTTTGTACCTTGGGGGTTTCTTCTGACAGCTTCACATCTATTTTAAGTGAGACAATGGGGAACTAGGAAAAAAAAGTAGGCACTATATATATATATGTGTGTGTGTGTGTGTGTGTGTGTGTGTGTGGTATATGTGCACATTCATCAGTGAAAGAGATTACGTTACTTTTGTAAGAAAACAAGAAAACAACATAATCAAACATACATGCCTATGTCAGTTTCAATTAATTTTACAATAAAAGCCTGGATCGATATGAGCGTCAGAAGATCAAGTGACATGCCACAACAAACTATAACAACATTTAATAATCGTATTTTAAAATCTATTTTACATATTATTTAAGACGTAGGTAAACGCTGCAAAGAGAAATTTTTAGTAGTGTATGCAAGCTCTAGGCAGAGTCCACTTTTATCTCAATGAACTTTATTTCATCATCCTAACGTTACGTTTTAAATGTCAGTGCGTGGTTAATGAATTATATACGACGGTCTGTGCTGGCAATTGCAACGAAGCCTGAAATCCATCGTGGAGTAAATAGCCCAATCCATATTCTCTAAGCAAAAGTACGCCAGATAAACGCGGCTCCTTATGCACTACCAATGCTGTAGTTACGATCGGAGAGCAATTTGAGTGAGTATTCTCAATTCGACCTACGCTAGTTTAAGAGCGTAGCTACAGCGACGGGACAGGGGGGCGACGTATAGTGCTTTGTGACTGGTATAGGGAGGCTTAAAGAGACAACGGCAGGAGGCGGAGAAGCGAGCGAAATGAGATCAAGAAAATATCTATAAAGCCGCCGACATGATCATTTAAGGCCCTCAAAAACACTCACGAACAGGTAAAAGACTTTAATTTGTCCGTTCGAGGCGCAACGGAGTGTATTTAATCGTGAATAACTGGTGAAAATAAAGGGAATAGACGTCGGCTGTGGGGATTAAGGAGTTGCCCAGTTCATGTTATGGGCTGTACGTTGCAAACGCAATCCTGTTAAAAATCAAAAGCTCAGTTTTATTTTCACCATCCCCACTTCGAAGGGAAGCTTTTAGTCAAGGTTACCCGGCTGGTATTAAGAATAGCTATTCGGTCGTTGGTAATTGTTATTTAAAAATATCTAGTCAACGTCCAGTCTTGTGTGGCAGTTTAAACTTGTAGCAAAGACTAGGCCACAAGCAGCAATATATATATATATATAATGTGTGTGTGTGTGTGTGTGTGTGTATATATATATATATAAAAAAATGTATATATGTATTTCAGTTAGCTAGCCGGCTAACTAGCTGGCGATAACTGGTTTGGTGACGTTAGCTAAGTCCCTCGAAACGTCAACTAGTTAGCTAGGTAACGGACGACTGGTTTACTGATCAGTTGCCAGGATTCTTGTTTTGAACTAGCTACCTGGCTAGCTAGCCGGTTTGTCAGCGTGCAGATTGAACATTTACGCGAACCGTCGCCCGGAGAGGCACCTTTCTGTGTTTCATGTGCAATAGTTAGGCTTTTTATTTTTATTTTTTACATTATGTTAATGGAGAGTTTGCCTGTTTAGCCTAGGCCTCCGGATAGCTAACTAGCAGGGTTAGGAACAGATCTACCTACAGCCAGCTGGCGCCGTAACTGCACGGCCTTGAGGATAGGTAACTAAAGTTAGAGTTAACCAAGCAGTCGGAAAAAATAGCCACAACGGTGTGGTTTATCCGTGTTTGTCCTCCTTACATGGATCGGTGTGAAGGGTCCTGGATACTGGTATGTAGGTAGCAGCTAATCCGTTTTCCGTTTTATTTTGTCCAGCTAGACAGCTTTACTTTATTAGTATCTTTGTAACGTTTAGGTAGCTTTGTAACGTTTAGGTTGATGACTGGCGAATGTTTTAATTTGTATATACGAAGTTGTTTTTAAGTGTTACTGGCAAAGACGTGCCAGCATGACACGGGGAGAGGGGGAAGCTCTGTAATGTACCTGTTTGCTTCTTATCGCTTGTTTTTCTTGTTTGTTTTGTACACGTAACGTGTGAATTAAGCCCCATGTCAATCATTCCTGTTTCAGCCTGTTAGATAACCTGTCTGTTTCAATAGATTTTATTTTTCTTCATTATGGATCCTGTTGAACAGAAAAGGTTCACGTTGGTGAGATAGGGATCTTTATCTTGACATTTGTTGCAAAATACAGGAGACTAATGGTTATGCTTAAAATGTTGTTTTGTAGTTAACCGCAGAAGTATTTGGCTGAACAGATAGAGGTGCATAAATTTAAACCTTATGAGTGAATATTTATAATGATATCTTTCCAAATATATTTGTGTCATGTGATATGACTGTCATATTTTGAACAGCTTGCATTTGTTAGACTGATGAGTAAGAAGGGCAATGGGACTGTGTCACACTGCTGGGTTATGTGTTGGTGATTGGAGCGGAAAGAGGGCGCAGAATGGCCTTATGGTGCATAGTGAAAGTCTTTAGACAGATTAATCAAACACTGGGGATGAAGACAGAAAAGAATCTGAAATGTTCTGACACTGTGGTCCTACATTTTTTTTGGTGAAGTTCTTTATTAGATTTCCCACTGTAACCAGTGACACCACATGCTGGAATTTGGCAAGACATCATGGAGTCGTAGAAACCCCCTAAAGGAAATTACACCTCTTAGGGAGAATCAGATCTTAGACCTGCGCACTGTGCAATCCTGTCATAGAATTATTAAAGGAAAAACTTTGCAGAACGAGCTGACAGGCTCCTGAACCCACTTTGTGGTTGTTTCGCTGATTTCCTCTCCTGCCTTTGGTGTGTCTGGGAGGATATGTTCAAAGCACACCTGTGTGACTTTTACAGCCAGTCTTTATTTTGACTGGATATGGCAGGGTTTTGCAATTGCCTGCTTTGTCGTCTCCTCCCCCCTGTTTTTTTGCTCGTTTGCCATTGGTAGAGTAGCCGAAGGAAGCGTGGGTTTCAAAGCTCGTGTTGTGGGCACAGATTTGATGCAGGCCCCCTGGTTAGCTTTCGGAACAGGCAGAGTCTCTTCACTGAGTCACCGCTGCTTATCGCCGCTGTTTCTGTTGTGAGGTGCTGCAGTGTGAGACTGACATTTGTGACTTCATCTTTAATCGCCTTTTTTTGTGCAAACCTGTTGCTGCTGTGTTGTCTTTGCAGTCTGAAAACTACTTTGCCTAAAGGACATTAGATCTGCTTTATTTTCTTGAGTCTGATACAGGTCATTAGATGACGGTATATTTAATATGCATCGATGACACTTCAGCTTTAAGTAGGATGTCATCCCACTACCTCCCACTTATTCATACCCTTAACAGATTTGCACCCTTTGGATTTTTATTCTGTATAGTTTTCTATTAATACCTTCACTGTTTCCCTGAAGCGGTTATGTCATCTCCAACACAACCAAACACTAATACTTGTGAAATACAGGTAAGCAGGATTCGTCATAGTCATTGTTCTCACTGGGCTCATATCTGGGACAGGTATGACATCCTAGTAATGGTGGATAATGTTGTTTTTGTGCTCAAGGGCCACCATTTCACAGACTGCACATGCTATTCTGTGTGTCGACATAGACAGGTTTCAAGAAACGTGTGAGGTTTGGTGCACTGGGGATGGTGGTTAGGGTGCACTAGTCGTGGATGTGTGTGAGCTCATGTTTCAGCCCTTTTAATGTTGGCAGAGTCGCATCTCGGAGATGCATCCTGCCGAGCATCGATCCACCTGAGTACATTTCCTGAAAAGATGGACGGCTGCTTGCTGACATTTCTGCCATGACCCAACCCCGATTAATCTACAACAAGGATCGGTCGCTTCATGAGTCTTGGTGTGGTGACATAAAAAAGACAAAGGGATTGGACTCCGGTAATAGGACAAATCTCTGCCAGTAGGGCATTAATGAGGGTTCTGTTTTCAAATATTTACAGACTGTCATGCAGTCTGTGTCCACATAGTACTTCACAGATGATTTAGATCTTCAGTAAATGCAGCTGCAGCTCTCCTAGTGATTTCCTTCTGTGATGAGATGCTCGTCTGTGGTTGCTTTTTTGTTTTTTTTCTCCCGTTCTTTCGTGGAAAGGTTTTCACTGAAAGCCCTCATCCCTGGGAAGAATGTTTTGATGAGTGACTCTCAGGCACGCCTTATCTGACACAGACATTGCGAAGTGCACGGTGACACGCAAAGAGGTGTTTTACCATTTCCTGCTGATGTCGTGTCAGTTTACTTTCTGTTTGACTGCTCTTGTGAAATTGCAGAAGTCATGGTCTGTAGTCCCACTGTTTTTGTAATATATGTGGAGTTTAAATGTTTATCCAAGACTTATAGTTAGGTGTGTGTGTTTGGCCTGAAATGGCTTATGGACTTCCAGAATGTGGCTGGTCTGTTCTTGCACGACCTCAGCCCTCTTCTAGCTCCAGAACGGTGTATATTTAGAGCTGGTACTAAAGACGCTAGATAATGCTTCCTGACAGAGATGCTCCCCCCTCCCTCGAATGTCCAGCACCCTGCTATTACGTACGTAACGTCTCTAGTCCATATTGATTTCTTTGCTGGCTTCTTTTTCCACAGCTAATATGAAAATAGATTTCTCCTACTTTCCCTCAGTATGATTTATTAATTAGCTTTTTGAAAACCAAGATTTTTCCCTCGTTGTCTCCATTCCCGAGGCAATCGCTGGAGAATCTTAGCGCTCGCTGTCCTCTGGCCTAGGAGGTTTCCTGCGGCCGTGTGGAGTGTGGGGTTTTAGATGTCCATGCCTGATAAATGGGTTTAGATCAGACGTGTGTGTTTGTGGAAGCTGAAACCCCATATCAGCTGCAGTGTAGTCCTCATGGCATATATGGCGAACCTCAGTGTTCGGTTTTACGGATCGTTTACACACGCGCGCCATCCATTGGCAAATTATGGGGGGAGGATTAATGCTGAAATGCCAGTGTGACGAACGAAAATGCTGCTTGAATATTTGAAGGTGGTTAGTGTTGAGTTTTGGTGTTTGATGGTTGAATGGTGGTTGTTTGTGTTTATTCTGAGGTTTTTTTTTTTTTTTAATACTCATGTTTAAATAGCAAACCTTGTGTATGTATATAAAGAATAGTTTTGTTTTCTTATTTGGTTTATTCTGACCTTTCCGGTTCTAAAATGTCAAACTGAACTTATTTCTTCAAGATTTCAAGATTCTTTAATTGTCACATACATAGTTATGCACACCGCACTTGTACTTTATGCAAAGTACAACACGCAGTGAAATGCATCCTGAACCGCTCTTTTGTAGACGGTGCAAGTTTAAAAATCCAATTATGCTAAAGTTAAAGTGCAAAAAAGGTAAAATTCAATCTAAAAATGCAAGCAGAGAAAGTGTGTTCAAAATGAACGGTGACACAGACATAAAAAAAGTGACCAGTGTAACAGTGCTGACATGGTGAGGGGTACAAGAGCACAATCAGGGTGTGAGGTGCAATGGCATGTCCAGGTTCAGAGACCTTATGGCCTGGTGGTAGAAACTCCTGCTAAGTCTCTCAGTCCTGGTCATGATGCTCTTGAGTCTCTTTCCTGATTTCAGAAGCTGAAACAGGCTGTTATTGGGGTGAGATGTGTCCTTTATGAGCCTGAAGGTCCTGCTCCTATATCTCTTGATGTAAAAAAAGAAAAGTGGACAGTCTGCACGGAGCGTCAGAAAGGCGTCTGGACGTGGCTGCTCCATGTGTCTTTTTCAACTTTTTCTCTTTTTCTTTTCCAACAGAGGGCAATCAGCCTATAGAAAGACTGAAAACCTCTTAGCTTTGTTTCCATCATGAATGACAAAGTGGTTGATTTATAGTTCTGTTGCTCGCCTTTGTGTGTGTTTTGAGCTTAACATTGCCTGTGGATTTTCCTTTCAGCCTGGCCAGTTACAAGCAAGAGCTGCTTTGCGTCCTGGGTTTGCCCGCACAGCTGACGCCCTTGACGCAGTTCCCTCCTGCATGCATCGGAGTGCAAGAAATGCCCAGTGCGAGGCCCAGCCCTGACCGGGAGGACGCAATGCCGATCGCCGGAGCCAGCGGGCACGCGGCGGTGCGCTTCTACTAGGCCGGGAGACGGATCTCAGGCTGTGTGCTCAGCCGACCCGTTCCGGGGGGGCTGGCTGACATGCAGCTCTGATTCTGGAACTTGGAGAAAAGAATCGCATTCAAATTGGAGTGGAAGCGCTGTAGGAAGTGTGCATCCAGGCAAGGCGCCCAGAAACGTGCAAAGGAGCCGTTCGAATCTGCTGCTCTTCCATCCATCCTTATTTTAAGTGTTTCTTTTTATTTTTGTGTTTGTGTGTATATATGTATGTACATATTTATATGTACATAAGGCCCTCCTCTCTGCCTCGCTTTGTTCGAATCCCCCCTTCGCTCCTTCCCACCCCCACGGCTCTGTGATTTGCATGGCAGCGGCGTAACCGTGGAGAGGCCCGGTTATCACAAGCTTATGGATTTTGACAAGAGAGGAGGGAAGGGGGAGGCCGAGGAGGGGAGAAGAATGTCCAAGACGCCCGGGAGCAGGACTGCGCATGGGGGCCGGGGCACAGGGACCAACTCTGGGGTGCTCATGGTCGGCCCCAACTTCCGGGTGGGTAAGAAGATCGGCTGCGGCAACTTTGGAGAACTGCGGTTGGGGAAGAACCTCTACACCAATGAATACGTGGCTATCAAACTGGTAAGGACCACTGTCTGCCTTATTAAAATAAGCCTTACACCGACCACCATGTGGATGTCATTCTAGTATGACTCAATGTCTGGCCCATTACAATAAGCTCTACACTAATGAACGTGCAGCTATCATTCTGATAAGAGCCAATGTCAGCCCCATTACAATAAGCTCTACACCAATGAACACACAGCTATCATTCTGATAAGAGCCAATGTCAGAGCCAACGGAATAAGTTCTATACCAATGAACATGCGACTGTCACTCAGGTAAGACCCAGTTCCCTCTTGCACTCTGCCATTTCACACTTGTACACGCTTACATAAACCTGTGAAAATTTTCCCAGGAAGCAGTTGGATTCAGACAATCAGCATCACTAGAATAGTCTTGCGGAAAGTCAGTAAATCAGAGGGAGAATTATTAGTCATAAATGAAGCCCTCAGATGAAGTACACTCTCACTGGGTGCATGGTAGTGTCTGTGCCGGGGCAAGAGGGGGGGACGGTGTCAGCCTTGCCGAATGAGTGACAGACTGTGTGGGTGGGGGTGGGGGTGGGGGGGGGGCAGACTGACTGACTCCCCATGCCTAAGGTTGCTCCTGGTTTTGTGAAGCGGACAGCGCAGGTGATCTATTAACTGAAGATTGTTAGGGCTGCAGTTCTAAGATTCTGAGAAACCCATCTCATTACCCACAAGAAATGGCTGGGCTTGTTTTACTTTCCGCTGAGGGGGCGGATCGTGTGCCGTGGGTGTGCTGCGAATCGCAGGCCGGGGACTTTCACAGCAGGACCAAGAAATGATAAAGGAAATAAGCCTCTCTGCACCCCCCCCCTCCATTGGTTCATTGTTCTTTTTTAAATTCAGAACATGGGTGTGCTGCCTTGCTGTCACTGAGTTCTGTAGCGTGACTTAAGTTCTTCTCCTGCTTGTTTGACTTCCTTTGTGGTGCAGAAAATGAGTTTGTCTGTTATGTAGACAAATATGGAGAAGTCCAGGAAGTTGCCAGAAGAAGGGCGGTGATGGTGCAGAGATGCTGTGCTCGCAGCTACTATAACTGTGACATCGACAAGTCTGTTAACATTTTGTGCAAACTCCAGACAGCCCCTGCTCTATGAGAATCCTTGGCCAAATATCCATTACCACTTAACTGGATTTTCGAATACTGTTTATAATATACATATATTTATAAAGGAAATCCAAGAATTCTTAACTTTCCTGAAGACCTGTAATAGCCCATTAGATGGTGGATTTTGCCGTGTGCTCACGTAGCCGCTTCTGCTCCGTATTCCGAGTCGATTTTTGTCCCAAATCTGGCATCTGCGGTGTTCAGCCTCGCGGCCTTGAGCCCACACCCCAGAAGCAGAGGTGCGTTTCAGCGTGGCCACCAGGGCGGCGCTGCCTGTCCCTGCCCGGAGGACGCCACGCTTACGGGACGGGCGACTTTGAAAGGTTGCCTTTGTTAGCCAGAGGTGTGCGCACACAGTAGTCCAGTCTTCAGTTCAGCTGTGCATTTTCTCACACTGACAGCCCCCCCCCCCCCCGGAGTGACGGAGTGGGAGGAAACGCCTGCAAAGCCTCAGCAGTCTTCTGTCCTCCAGGGACGCTTAAAGAAGCAGGCCGCGTTACAGGGCTCCTTTTGTTTTAGTTCAGTAGTGCTGGAGCGGCCTGCCAGTGAGGGTCTCTTACACAACCCTCAGTAGACACACTGATTTAATGGCGTGTCATAAATCGCTTCTCAAACTCCCTGGGTCAGGAGTTGATGGCGGAGGAGGGGGCACAACACCCTCCCCTTTCTTTTTTCTCATCCTTTCTGCACTCGTTTCCAAGTCCTACACCCACCAGCTATCCCAGCCGCCATTTCCGCTCGGCAGCCTGGGATTGGTCGGCGTGGCCCGTTCGTATCTTTCTGCAGTCTCTATTGGCTGACGTGCCTGTGTTCTCGCTCTCCTTCTGGGGTCCCATTCATTCACCAACTGGGGCTCCTTCACCCCTCCTTCCTGGTAACAAGGGAGTGAGGAGCAGTAATGGAGATGGCAGAGATGAGAACATTTTGTACCTTTTATCGTGAACAATGGGCAGGTTGATGACAGCCAGCTTTGTCTCCAGCCCTGTTGGACGGCCTTTTAAACAGGCCTGCTGGAAGGGCCGTAAATTGCCTGTAATGTGGTATTGACCTGAAGCTTTTCTCATAATTCGAGGACCGTCATTTGACTGGCCCTTTAGTGCCTCTGCCTTCCGTGTAGGATGACTGGAACTGAGGTGGCTATTGATCTTTTGTGGGAAAACACGAACCCTTCTTCCTCTTCCCTTTTTAAACGAAACGGCTTATTTTCCATTACTGAATGGTCCTTCCGTTCCAGTGCTGGTTATGATAACTTAATTTTTATGACTCAGTGCTTATTATCTACAGGGCGGAACAGGACCGTAAAGTAACCTTTAGACACAGAGTGGCCTGATGTACCTTGATTAGTCGTGAGTGGGTGGTGGGAGCGGTTGATTTGTAACTCGTTCCCAAAGATCCATGATCTGTACAGCAGGCCTGTTCTTGCTGGCATCTTGATCATGGTGGGATGTCCCTTCACTTGAACCGTTGCCTAAGCTGCCCCTCTTCGGTTACAGCCTTGGTTCCCATGGCTAAACCAGGCAGCTGTTGACAGAACGTGGTGAGACCTGCCCACAGAAGGTTTCGAAGCCTCATCACCCGCTTCCAAGGGTCCAGCGTGGCACTGCAAAGATCCTGACCTCCAGTTGGGGGCGGAGCCTGTGGAATGGCGTTGCGGCGCCACGCCTGGAGCCAGCTGTCACGCCAGGGCAGCTGACGGCTTCGTCCGGACCCTGAAATCCAATCTGAAATCTGAGCGTTGTTGAATGTGTGCCAGCTGTGGCCACTAAAGGCGTCTCCCACAATGCACCAGGCGGCTCCCATTGCCTGTGATAAAATATGTTTTGGTCGCGGTTTACTCTGCTGCCTTCCATACGTGGAGTTTAATCTGCACCAAAAGAAGTGATACCACCATTACCATGACTCCCATTAGTTACTCTCCAGTGGTCCATCCCTCACTCTGCAGGCCTCTCGTGGGAGGCAGGCCTGCAAGGAAAATCTGAGATACGCTGCACAGATGTGCTTTCCGAGGCCTGAATATCTGTCTGCGGTAAAATTGGTGTGATTGACTTGAAAAAGGCAAAGCCTTGTTTAAATGGGGTTATGGAGTGAAAAAGGGTCATTTAGAGAGACCACAAGAAATATGTTATTGACAACAGAAAGTGTTTCTAGTCATTACTGGAAAGCTGAATACCTCAGATGGACTAGTCAGCTATTTGGTGTATAATTCGTTGAAGGTGCAGCTATTTATAGTCAATGGGTTCTAATAAACTGATATGTTCCTTGTTCTCGGACAGGCTTGGAATGTGGTTGGATGCATAAATTTATGTTTATGAGTTTTTTTTTTTCAGTTTGTACAGCCAGATCAACTGGAAATTCGGTAGTAAGTAGCAGGTTGTCAGGAGCCGGGAGCTTTGACAGACTTGTCTAGTAAATTTGCAAGAATCCAGTAAAGCGAGTTACTCGCAGTGGGTTACTGTCAGTGACGGAGATACAGCCCAGTTGGGCTGCTGGTGCCCTGCCCTCTTTCGGCACCGTCTGCTCCCCGATATGACAGTCAGGAGATACAAAGGGTCTCAGCGGTGGTGCCCCCACCCCCACTGATGAAATTCACCTGGGTTCTGCTGCAGGATACTGGAAGGTCACCGCTGGTTTTGTGCCTGTAGGAGGAAGAGGGCGGAGGTGTGGTCTTCAGCCGCCCCGTCACCACCCCCGCCCCCACCTCCCACCCCCACCGAGTGTTCCACATTAATTATTCAGTGTTGAGGGAAGGCGGGAGGTTCTGAGCATGACGCGCGTGCTCAGGAAGGCAGGCGGCCGTGTTCTGTTACTGAGGGCCCGGCCATGTTTGTTTTTTAGCGCTCCCTCTGCGACTGCAGACGAGCAGGCTGGGGAGGCCCATCATTAATGTGCAGCAGGAACGGTTTGAGCTTCATGAGGAGAGATTCGGGGGAGGGGGAGTTACGCCGTTCAGTTTAAGCATAACGGCGCTCCTGCCCAGATATTTAATTCTAAAAAGAATCCCCCCAGTTCAGTGTATGGGCCGCCTGGCCTGTCTGCCGGCTCGGGGATCTGGACCCCACCCAGCACACGGACCCCCCCCCCACTGGCCCCCAGGCTGAGGGGTGGAGCTGAAGGCTGCCGTCCTGCCAGCTGGTCCTGAGCTCTGGCAGGACGTGATTCTCCGAAGCCACGACGGCGAGGTGTCAGTCAATCCGTCCGAGTTTCTTATTTCCAAACTTTGGGACAGGATTTCAGGACGTCTTTAAGTGGGCCGTGCCATATGCGGAGTGTGATGTCAGACTGTTGGAGTTTGGGACCATTTGGTGTGAAGATTGTTGCCAAGTTCTTCTGGTTTGCAGGCTGATTAGTGATTAGCTTCAGAGCCTTGGTTGTGTGCTGGGGCCTGTTATGCTTTTTTACTCTGATTATGCCCTTAAAGCTGCTGTAAGCCACGGATTAAGTTTTTATAAGGAAGTATCTATTTCTGTGCTGTCATATTAAGGTAATATAAGTTAATATGATATTAATAGCTTAGAAATATGTACAGTGTTTCTCATCTGTCCTGTGTGTGAGATGTGAACACCATTCTCTCCTGCTTATAAACCAGTGTGTGACCCGAGCTGAGAAGACTGGGGGGGAGTGGACATGTGCTGGAGGAATGTCGGTCATGTGACCGGCTCTTTGGGGGTTGCACCATTTGTGTTAGCGTCACAGCACCACTGTCAAACAGCAGCGGGAATTCAGAGCCTGTCGTCACTGCAGCGGCCGTGTGACGAACCGCGCGGCCCCTTCCCTTGCGTGGAGCACACTTCCCTTTCATCAGCGACGTTAATGTGGCCTTTCAGAGTCCCGAAACCCCCGGACGTTTGCGCGATGATGTCTGAGCAGCTCTGCGGAGGAGGGCGCCCTCTTCCTCTGTCCCCCAGTGTGGTCAGGCCTTTCAGTCTGATGCAGCTTACTGGCCACCCCCAAAGCTCACCCACCTTCTGCTGCCAGAGGCTCCGTCTCTGTCCTGCTGATGGTTTTTCCGTTCCGTCCTTGTTCTCTCTCTTCCCTGCTCCCTGTCTTCTCTACTGACTCGTTCATGTTTTATTTCTTTCTAGGAGCCAATAAAGTCCAGAGCACCTCAGCTGCACTTGGAATACAGGTTTTACAAGCAGTTGGGAAACTCAGGTAAGCGTGTGTGGGGGGGCGGCGCATGGGGGGGCAGGTTGGGCACCCCGGGATGGGGATGCGCTGTGAGCAGGACCAGCCTCACCGCACTTTGCATGACCTTAGTCAGCCTCTGCTGCTCGAGTCTGTGGGTTTCTGCTTACGAATGCAGGAAGTACATTGATGGCGGTTTTTACCAGAGGGTGCAAACAAAGGAGGACGTTGGCCTGTTCTGGAAGGCAGGCTTGGCAGGGTTTGGGGGGACCTTGGGGGCTTTAGTGATCACGTGATGTCAGGCCCTGGTCCCTGGAAACCCTTGCAGGCCGTGAGAGGGCCTTCAGACAGCCATTGGGGCCCCAGCATGGACGATCATGGTGTGTAGCAGATCTGTTTGGCAAGCAGAGAGCCCTTATGTATTGCTGTTCTGGCTGATGTTGGGGAAGCAGTCCTTTGAAGCCATAAATACTAGCATGTTCCAAACCCCCACCCAGCAAGGCCGCCAGGCACTGATTTACCCATAATTCCCCTCATTTTAAACCCACAGTTTCCTCAGCAGACTCCCATTGTAGCCTTCCAGTGCGTCATCTGGTTCCCCAACTGCATTCAGACATGTAGTTTAGTGACAGTGACCAAAACCCAGCTAGAAGTGCTTAGCTGTTTTTTATTGGGGGGGGGGGTGTGTTGGGACGTACGGGGTTTATTGCCGTGTGTAGGACTGAGCTGCCCATTTTTATATTGAGTATTAGTGGCACATTGTAATTGGACCGATTTGTTTCAGGAAGTTGGTGAAGATTTCAAAGTGATTATTTTTGCTGTTTTCAGTTTTGGTTTTCGTGTTTAATTTTGACGTTTTGCGCTAATGGAGTTAGCTTTTCCCAGCCGAAAAACCCAGTGCAGAGTTCTGGTTGTTTGCGCTCAGTCTTGTGCGGTATGAATTCTGTAGTTGTTTGGGGGCTTTCGGCTTAGTGTAATGGACCTCACCACCACCCCACCCAGCCTAACCCACTTTTCAAACACTGTGGCACAACACCAAGCAGCCCTAAAACACCCCCCCCCCTTTAGTGTAAACCGATGATGTAAGTCTGAGAATCACAAGTACTTTATTAAGTGTCTTTCTGTAATCTGTGAGTGGTCATAGCCACATCCCCCTAGAGTAGGGAGCTGCTGCGTCACTAGAGCTGCCGGAGGAGCGTAGCTGTGTGGCAGGAGGGCACTGAGGGCATCCTTGGTATCTGCCTGAAACAGCACAGCTCCAGAACTGGGCCCCCACCCTGTCTGTGACACTGTGGTGTGTGTGTGGGGGGGTTGTTTGGCTAGATGGGTGTTACTGTCCTATTTTTAGCCCGACTTCCCTGTGCTCATGAAAGCAGCCCCCTGGTCGTCCTCCCACAACGCCGCCATCTCCACACGTGGGCACCGATTGGACCTTTAACGCTTTCATTTCCTCATGTGGCCTCAGTATTGGATGACTGGAGTGGAGGACCACTAGTGCCTCAGAACTCACAATGACGTACATGCGCTGTTTACCAAACGCAGCAGACGGTGCGGTTGGGGGTTGGGTGTTTGTCTGTATCATGTCCGGTGTTCATTAATGCCCCCCCCCCCCCCCCCCCCCCCCCCCCCCCCCCCCCCC